TTCTTCCTGTAATGCATTTCAGTTCATTCAACAGATAGTCATTGCATGTCCATTATATGCCAGACCCTGTGATATAACCGTGAATACAGAGGTGAATAAAAGGGACAAAAATCCCCACCCTTGAGGGGCTGGCATTCTAGTCAGAGAATACAGATGAAAAACAAACTAAGTAAGAATGTATCATGTGATGGAAAATGATACATGACATGGAAGTAAATAAAGCGGAAACGGGGATAGATGGGGGGTAGAGGGGATGGGGTTATAGATTTAAATAAGGTGGTCTGGAGAAGTCCTCCTTGAGAAGGTGACATCTAAGTAAAGACAGGAAGGAGAAGAGGGTGTGTGCCATGCCTGGACCTGGGAGAAGAATGTTCCAGGCTGAAGGCATAGCAAGGGCAAAGACCCTGAGGCAAGTGTGTGGCTGGCCCATCTGAGGAATGTCAAGAGGGCCAGAGTAGCTGCAGAGAAGGGAGCAAAAGGGATGAAGCCAGAGAAGGTGTGGCGGGCCAGGTTCTAGGGGGTCCAAGGCCTCTGGAAGGACTTGGAATTTTACTCTGAGAACAACAGGAAACCATTGGACCATTTAAGTTAGACTTAAGGAGTCAGTCAAAACATTTATCATATGTGGGACATGGTACTGAGCTCTGGAATCAGGGCTGAACTTAGAGTCCTTTCTGCCCTCAAGGAATGTAGAGCACCCAGAAATGCTCACACAAAAGGGCATAGCAGAGGAATGTTATTATAGAGCAACTTAATAAAAGGGTACATTAATAACAGTGGTTAATGGTACTCTTTGCTTTTTATCTCTATAGTTTTAAAGTTTTTGTCATAAAAACAATATATGCTCCTGTTTGAAAAAAAAATCACTGCAGAAGAATATAATTTTAAAGAAGATGAAATTTATTCTATAAGTAAAACATGGTAGTAGTTAAAATTCAAAGACAAATGTAATGTTAAAGATAATGAAAGTTCCTCCCCTCCCTTGGGAAGGATGGTGGGGTGATAGTTGTTAACAGTTTGCTGAGTCCTCTAGATTTTTCCTACATACACATAAACATGTGTACAAAGATTAGTTGAACCATATGAAATTGCTGACATTTTATTGTTTCAGCCTATTAAAACAGCTATTAAAATTTGCTATGGTTCAACCTAATCTTTGCACACATTTATTTTACAAATATTTCATTCTATAGCTGCTTTTTTCACCAGCCAGTATAGTATGCCTATCTTTCCGTGTCTGTTCATAAAAACATAATAAAAATAACACACAACTTTCATTAAACGATGAGCGAGGCACCAGGTGCTGTGCTAAGCTCTTCATTCTAAAAAACCCTTTGGAGTAGGCCAACTTTCTATCTTTCTATCTTCTCAACAAGGTCTTCGAGAACCACTTACCCATAAGCTTGCAAGTGGCAGATGGAAAATCTTTCCAACCACACATAGGTCCATGACGCAATGTACCTGTTCCTACTGAAGGAGCCTCAAGCTGTCTCCAATTGCTCATTTTATAAACAATGCCTCTGTGAAGATTCTTGTATGTGTAGCTCTGTTCTCTTGAGCATCTCCAGGTTAGGTGATTAGAAATGTGAGGGGCAGGGCGTCTGGGTGGCGCAGTTGCAGTCGGTTTGGCAACCAACTCTTGTTTTGGCTCAGGTCATGATTTCTGGGTTGGGAGATCAAGCCCTCCCCTATCAGCGGGGAGCCTGCTTCCCCTCTCCTTCTGCCCCTCCCCCAGCTTACACACACACACTCACTCTCCTCTCTCTCTCTGAAATAAATAAATCTTAAAAAGAAAAAAAAAGTGCTGGGGTCATTCCCAATTTTAAGTTTGATACATTCTTGCCCTCCAGGAAGATTATCAATTCACACCTCAACAGTAGGATATTTGAAATGGCCCTATTTCTCCACAACCTCTTCAGTACCTGATGTTATCAGTCTTCTGATCTATGTCAATTCATTAGGTTAAAAAAAAAATCTCACTTTCTATACAGGAAGGGATCTAACATTTGCTCCGTGCAGATTTAACTCTGGCTGTCTTCATATGTCCTCTCACTCTATCCTCACAGCCTGTCCACGGAACAGGTATTATCCCACTGTTTTGCTGACAATGAAACCAAGGCGCGGAGGGTGAAGGTGTTTATCTCCCTTCCAACAGTTTAACAATTCTGTGGAAGAGTATACCTCTTTCCACTAGAGGAAGCGGGGAAAAAAAAAAAAAAATAATCGTAGGGCTGATTCTCATTGGCCCACGATTGGTCATGTGTCCTTCCTTGAGCCAATCACCATGACTCCGATGTGCCCACCCCCACAGCCCGGTGGGCCAGGGGTGCAGAGTCCATAACACAGATATTAGTGAATGGGGGAGAGGTGCTTCTCCAAAAAAAAAAAAAAAAAAAAAAAAAGCGAAGCTCCATTACCAACTATGGGTGGAAAGGGTAGAGTTCATCAGGAAGAAACTGCCTATCTTTTAGAACGAGAGAAGTAGAACCAAACCTGGAGCAGGAGGGGCACCTGGGTGGCTCAGTGGGTTAAAACTCCTGCTTTCCGCTCCGGTCATGATCCCAGAGTACTGGGATCGAGCCCCGCATCGGGCTCTCTGCTCAGCGGGGATCCTGCTTCCTCCTCTCTCTCTGCGTGCTTCTCTGCCTACCTGTGATCTCCGTCTGTCAAATAAATAAAAACAACAAACAAAAAACCTGGTGTAGGAGATGATCTGAAGAGCGTGGGGACGAGGGTAGGGATGGAGGTGGGGGTCAAGGATGGCTGCCCAGAGGGGAGTGAGGGGAAAAGAGAAGCTCCCTCTGGCTGGGCCTTCCAACTTCCAGCTTTGCTGCAGTGGAGCCTGAGGCTCAGTGGAATACTGGGGAAAATTCTCAATTCTTTGTCCCGTGTCGTCCAGTCCCGTCCAATCCCCCCCCCCCCCCGGCCATCTTTCCCCAGAGAATAAAGAAGGGCCACCTCTGGGTGTTACCAGCTCCTGCCTCAGGAACTGATTCTAAGCTTAACTGCTGCTGGTGGGAACAGCCCTTCTGCACAGCATTCACTGACTCGTGTTTCATGTGCAGAAGAGAACATAGGGGCGGTGGGACATAGGAACAGAGAGGTTGTCTCCAGAGTCGCAATCTACCTGCAGAAAGAGCCTGAGGGTCAGCACTGGAATAGTGAGGCAGCCTTCAGAGCCAGGCACACCTGCTTTCAAGCTCAGCTCGGCTGTTTACTCTGAACTTTATTATTTTATTATTTTTTTAGAGAGAGTGTGTGTGCAAGTGGGGGCAGAGAGCAGAAGAAGAGGGAGAGAGAGAATCCCAAGCAGACTGCTGGCTCGGTACAGAGCCCAATGTGGGGCTCGATCTCATGACCCCAAGATCAGGACCGGAGCAGAAATCAGGAGGCACTCAACCAACTGAGCCACCCAGGTGACCCAGTAATGAGTACTTGAACCATTCCCTCTGTGATACGTACTACAACAGAATTACCCCCAAGGCAATTTTATTTTTTCCTGATCTTGTTCAAACTTCAATCTCTTTCGTGGTTTGTTATCCAACTCGTGTTTTCCCTCCGTGCCATCCCACCCACCATCCCTTCCAGGCCTTTTCCTCCACATGTCACACACCATCTTGCACAAGCCTTCTCTGAGCCCTCCCCAGCTCCCCTCCATCTTTGAAGGACAGTGACTGGGAGAGCTGCACTTGCCTTTACTGGAGCAGACATGCTGCAGCCTGAACCCCAAGTCTTTGATGGGAATGATAGGAAATCGGGGCTCCTGCCCTGAGGCGACAGCCACCTCCCTGTTGACAGCCCAGCATCCTAGGAAGCCCCTGAGTTTTGGGATTTGCGGAGCTGGGTTTGAATCCAGACTCTTGCTCACTGTGGATCCTTGGGCAAGTCCCTGGATCTCTTGACCCTCAGTGTCCTTGTCTGCAGAAAGACGACATCCCTACCCAATGAAGTGGCTGAGAACATGGCTGCTTGGGTTTGAATCCCAGCTCTTTTACCTCATCTGTAAAGCAGGGATATTAACAGTGGTGTTGGGGGTTAAGTGAATTATATATAACGTGCTTAGCTCAGGGCTTGGTGCATAGTAAGGTGTGTATGGTTTAGGATTTTGTTTTGTTTTGTTTTTATTGAGGTATAATTGTCATATAACATTATATTAGTTTCAGGTGTACAAATTGATGACAAGGTATTTATAAATATTGTGAAGCGATCACCGCAATGTCCAGTTAACATCTATCACCATACATAGTTAAAAAACTTTTCCCTTGGGGGGCACCTGGGTGGCTCAGTGGGTTAAAACCTCCACCTTCAGCTCAGGTAATGATCTCGGGGTCCTGGGATTGAGGCCCGCATCTGGCTTTCTGCTCAGCGGGGAGCCTGCTTCCCCCTTTCTCTCTACCTGCCTCTCTGCCTACTTGTGATCTCTCTATCTCTGTCAAATAAATAAATTAAATCTTTAAAAAAAAAACACAACTTTTTTCTTGGGATGAGAATTGTTAAAAATCTAGTCTTAGCAACTTTCAGATAGGCCAGACTATAGTCTCCATGTTGTAGGATACCTCCTCATGACTTATTTTATAACTGAAAGTTCTACATTTTGACCCCCTTCACCCAGTATACCCGCTGCCCTATCCCCTACCCCTGGCAACCACCAATCTGTTTTCTGTCTCTGAGCTTACAGTAGGGGGATGAGAGGTTAATTTGTTTTTTAGATTTCACATAGAAGTGAGATCATATGGTATATATTTTTCTCTGACTTGTTTCACTTAGTGTAATGCCCGCAAGGTCCACCCATGTTGTCACAAATTGCAAGATGTCTTTCTTTTGTATGGCTGAATCATATTCCCCCTATTCAGATGCCTATATTTTAGTTATGATTGAATTGAAAAATGCCTGCCGAGGACTTAGCTGGGATGGGAATGGGGACAAGCCGGGAGGTGGCAGCACCCCTTTAGCCCGGTTCCGGCTGGGACACAGGAAGGCAAACCGCCACTCTATCTCAGGTGCTGTCCCACAACCTGTACACGGTCCTTCACATCCCCCACGACCCCGTGGCTCTGGAGGAGCACTTCCGGGATGATGACGACGGCCCCGTGTCCAGCCAGGGATACATGCCTTACCTCAACAAGTACATCCTGGACAAGGTGGGGCCTCGCTTGAGGGGGCACCTCTCCCCACTTCCCAGTCTGTGCAGTGCCCCAATACATTGCCACCCCAACTCCTCCCACCTATAAACTCCTCACTGTCCATCCCTGCCCTCCCATCTCCATCCTTCAGATTCCAGCCACTCACCCCCTCCCTGCCCCCCCTCACTCCCTCCTCCATCTCCCTCACCTCTATTCTAGCCTCCACCCTTCCACCCCACCCCCTCCTCGGCTCACCTGCTGTTTCCAGCCATAACCTTTACAAAGGGCTCTCCGGCTTCCCCCAGGGCTGTGTCTCCTGCTCTTCCCAGCCGTCCCTCTCTTCTTGGGTTCTTCCTGGTTGTCCATCCCGCCACCCTTGGCCTCCCCTCCTTTCTCCCCTGGGCTGAGGGACAGGTTTCTCTATAGGCAGGGGACTCAAGTGTGTGTGGAGGGGGTGGGTGGTGGGAATCAGCTAGTTACCTGATAAGCAGCTCAGGGACTCCTCAAGTTAGAGAGCCCCAGCTTGGCAGGGTGGGGAGCAGGGAAGAGACCCCAGGAAAGCAGCTAGAGACTTGTCTGGTGGGAGAGCTGGGATGGGCTGGCCGTTTTGGCTGACTTGCTGGCCTGGTGGCAGGTGGAGGAGGGGGCTTTCGTTAAGGAACACTTTGATGAGCTCTGCTGGACCCTGACGGCCAAGAAGAACTACCGGGTGGACAGCAACGGGAACAGCATGCTCTCCAATGACGATGCCTTCCGCCTCTGGTGCCTCTTCAACTTCCTGTCCGAGGACAAGTACCCTCTGATCATGGTTCCTGATGAGGTGAGGGCAATGGCAATGGCAGTCCCAGGGACTGAATCCCTGGGGCCAGCAAAACCTTGAAGGAGGCCAAATCGCCTCTGTAACTTTCCCACATCCCCTTTCTTCTTGGTCTCCCCATGCTGGTGCCTCTCTGCCCCCAGCTGTCTCCAGATGCCTAGAATTGCCTCTATCAGAGTCATTGTGCTCAGGAAAACCAAAACTACCCTTTCTTCAGTGCTCTCTTAGCCCTCAAGGGAAGAAAATGACCACAGATTCTATTTACATGACAGTGTAAATGCCTGATACCTTACATGGCATTTAAAAATAAAAACATTTAAGATTGAATGGCAGGATTCCAGGCACTGTGGCAATCTGAGAAGGTTACTAGATGAGGGGAAGGGAGAATTTCCAGGGATGTCTGGCCCATTACTCCAGGGCTGGATGGGCAACCAAATCTGGCCCCAGTTCTAGATTTTTCCCTCCCTGTCTTCTATAATACAGAGGAGAGCCGGGGCACACCCAGCTCTGGCTCCAGAGGGCATCTGGGGGTAAAGGCCTGGATTGTGTTCCCCTGCCTCCTCAACTTATGGACGAAGCCAAGGCACATGCCCCCCCCCCCCTTCCCACTTCACCTCTACCCCATACATTTAGCCTTCTCCTGAACTTTTTGCCCTTTTGGTGGCTGTGAAGATGCCAGAGCGAATTTAGGTCTTAGGTATGGTGGGGAGGGGTCCTCTGTGTTCACAAGAAGTCCTAACGTATCTAACCTCACTCAGACTTATCTCCTGGAAGGGCGAGGGGAGATGCCTAATCGCTGAACTGGTACACCCACCCCACTCCCAGCTGGACCAGTAACCTCCAGAGGGAAAGTCCTACAGAGAGTGTCCCAAGCAGCTGCTGGGGCAGGTAGGGGACACGTGTCCATCTGCACAGGCACACGGCTAGATACCCTTGTCAGACCCCCGCCTATCAGGGGAAGGGGGCCCCCCATAGGCCAGAAGGCTGCTCACTGCCGTGATCAACACATTCTATGTACAAACTGCAGCAGGATGAACCCCAACCGCCACTTCCTGTTCCTCTGTAGCAGGTTTCCTGTCCCTGCCCTGCTTACACCCACCCCCAATCCCCTTGCCCTCCCAGAAGGGAAGGATCCTCAGGGTTGGGGCTTGGGTTTGGAATAAGGACTCAGATGGGATACAACTCGAGTTCTAGCTGCCACCAACTTGCTGTATGATTTAGAACGAGTCACTTCCCCCTCTGGGCCTCAGTTTGGTCGTTGGCCAAGTAAGGGTATTGGATGAGAGGGCCTTTGTGCCCCTCTGACGTGTTATATGATTTGCTGCCTCTGCCTGGCCCCCAGCCCTCAGCCTTCACCCTGCCCTTGATTTAAAGCATGAAGGAATGGGACATGGGACTGGAAATTGGGGAGGGGAAGGGAATGCCCGAATTGGGGTTGGGGCTCCAGGATCCCCCCTCCAATCTACCCCGATTTCTTTTTTTTTTTTTTTTTTAAGATTTCATTTATTTATTTGACAGACAGAGAGACAGCGGGAGAGGGAACATAAGCAGGGGGAATGGGAGAGGGAGAAGCAGGATTTCCACTGAGCAGGGAGCCTGATGCAGGGCTCAATCCTGGGACCCCGGGATCATGACCTGAGCTGAAGGCAGACGCTTAACGACTGAGCCACCTGAGCACCACTCCACCCTGGTTTCCACCAACATTTAGTCGTCTGGCTTCCCTACTCCCTGTCCCTGGTCACCTCTGCCCAGGCTCTGGGAGCCAGAGAGGGCCCCCCCCCATCCCGATATTGTCATAGGCAACACTGTCTGTTATAGTCACCAGGCTCCCGGCCTCCTCCAGGTGGAATATTTGCTGAAGAAGGTGCTCAGCAGCATGAGCTTGGAGGTGGGCTTGGGTGAGCTGGAGGAGCTGCTGGCCCAGGAAGCCCAGGCCGCCCAGACCACCGGAGGGCTCAGCGTCTGGCAGTTCCTAGAGCTCTTCAACTCCGGGCGCTGTCTTCGAGGTGTGGGGCGGGACACCCTCAGCATGGCCATCCACGAAGTCTACCAGGAGCTCATCCAAGATGTCCTGAAGCAGGTCAGGCCAAGCTGGGAACTCAGGGAGGACCCAAGACAGGGTGAAGAGGGGATGTGGGGGGGGGGGGCGCAGTGACGCCTCTGACTTGGCTCTGGCTATGACAGGGCTACCTGTGGAAGCGAGGGCACCTGCGGAGGAACTGGGCAGAACGCTGGTTCCAGCTGCAGCCCAGCTCCCTCTGCTATTTCGGGAGTGAAGAGTGCAAGGAGAAGAGGGGTACCATCCCGCTGGATGCACAATGCTGCGTGGAGGTGAGGGGGACCAGCGAAGGGGGTGGAGTGCAATTCAGGGCCCAGAGGCTCTCCAGTGTGGTATAAAAGCAAGAGGCTCGGGAGGAGAGTGGATGGAGAAAAGCCACAGTGGCAAACGTCTGCCTAGATGACCGTAACCCAAATATACCTGGGTGCCTCAAGGCCATTCTCATGCATGCCAGCACTTTAAAAAAACAAACAAACAAACAAACAAAAACCCAAACTGCAACAAATCTAATACTAAAGCCACTGGTGAGTAATGTGGATTTTGCTAAGGATTTTAGAGGAGATGGCTTATGTCTCATGCTACAGAGCAAACTTTTTTTTTTTTTTTTTAGGGAGAAAGAGTGGGTGGCAGAGGGGTGTGGAGAAGGGGCAGAGGGATGGGGAGAGAGACTCCTTTTTTTTTTTTTTAATAGGTTATTTATCTATTTGACAGAAGGAGAGATCACAAGTAGGCAGAAAGGCAGGCAGAGAGAGAGGGGGAAACCGACTCCCCACTGAGCAGAGAGCCAGATGCGGGGCTCGATCCCAGGATCCTGAGATCATGACCTGAGCCTAAGGCAGAGGCTTAACCCACTGAGCCACCCAGGTGCCCCAAGAGAATCCTTTTTTAAAAAAAGATTTATTTACTTATTGAGAGAGAGAGGGGCGGGCATGGGGAGGGGGGGCCAGAGGGAGAAGGAGAATCTCAGGACCCCGAGATCATGACCTGAGCCACCCACGTGCCCTGAAAGAGAATCTTAAGCAGCCTCCATGCTCAGCAAGGAACCCACTGCAGGGCTTCTTCTTATGACTCTGACATCACGACCTGAACCAAAATCAAGAGTCGGAGACTTAACTGACTGAGCCAACTTGGTACCCTCGCAGCGAAACTTTCCAAAAATCCCCTTAAAAAGTTTTTCTCCTTCACCCAAATTCCATTCGCTTTGGCAATTCTATTCATCCTTAGTCTTTCTCCACATCCCTCTCCTCCAGTGCTTCCCCTCCCTTTTCCCCCCTTGGCTCTGTCTGTTATTATTTTAGACCCAAAACAATTATTTTAAATTGTAGTTTTTAAAAAAATGTATATATACACCTACATACACACACACACACACACACACCCTTAACATGAAATTTGCCATTTTAACCATTTTAAGTGTACAATTCTTAGCATTAAGTACATTCACAATGTTGTGTAACCCTCACCACTATCTATTTCTAGAACTTTTTCATCATCACAAAGAGAAATTCTCTACCTATTAAGAAATAACTCATCCCTTCTTTCTCCCCTGTCCCTGGTATCCTCTATTCTACTTTCTGTCTCCACGAATTTGCCTATTCTGGGTACCTAGAATGGAATGGAATCACCTAATATTTTGTCCCTCTGTGACTGGCTTTTCTTCAGTGTAAAGTTCCAAAGTCCATCCATGTTGTGGCACGGGTCAGGACTTCAGTCCTTTTTATGACTGAATAATATCCCATCACATAGATAGACCACATTTTGTTTATCCACTCATGGACTGATGGACAATGGGTTGTTCCCATCCTTTGGCCATTGTGAATAATGCTGGTTTGGCCATCCATACAGAAGTTTCTGGGTAAGCATATGTTTTCATGTCTCTGGGTATATACTGAGTAGAATTGCTAGATCATATGGTAATGCTATGTTTAACTTTTAAGGAATAGCCAAATTGTTTTCCAAACCATCTGTACCATCTCACATTTTCACCAGCAGTGTATGAGAGTTCCACTTTGTCCATATCCTTGTCAACATGTGTTATTTTACATTTTTTAAAAATTATTCTTATAGGGCACCTGGGTGCCTCAGTCAGTGAAGCATCTGCCTTTGGCTTAGGTCATGATCCTAGGGGCCTGGGATCGAGTCCTGCGTCAGCCTCCTTGCTCATGGGGCGGTCTGCTTCTCCCTCTGTCCCTCACCCCACTTGTTCTCTCTCTCTCTCTCAAATAAATAAATAAAATCTTTAAAAAAATTATTGAAGCCATCCTAGGTTCTCCATTTTTGCCACATAAGGAAACAGGTGTCACTGAGGACAGAGCTTAGATCTTAGGCAGAAAGCCCACCTCCACCACCAACAGGCAGTGTGAACTGGGCATGTTCCTGGACCTAGTAAAGCCTCAGTTTCTTTTTCTGTAAAGTGGAACTAATAATGCCTGCTTGGCAAGGTTGTCTTGGCATTGTGAATAAAATGATGCATCTAAACACTAGTTCAGCCTCGAGAGCACAAGAAGCTCAATACGTGAGACACCCAGCTGGCTTAGTCAATGGAGTGTGTCTCTTGATCTCGAGGCTGTGAGTTTTCAAGTCCCATGTTGGGTGTAGAGACTGCTTAAAAATAAAATCTTAAAAAAATAAAAAAGAAGGAGAAGAATCTCAAAAAGTGGTAGCTGTATTTTCCAGTAAAATATAAGCTTAGGGAAGGCAGGGATTTGGTCTGTTAGTCCCGCCTCAGTATCCTAAATGCCTAGAACAATGAGCCGCACTCAGGAGACACTCCAAGATATCTGTGGAATGAATGAATGGAGAACTTACCCAACAGGCAGGGCTATGTGAAAATGAATGATTTGGGTAGTGAGGACCCTGTCATGGAAGGTGTTCAAGAATGATCTGCACCCACACTCGGTAATGGACTAGGTGCCAGGCCCCATGGAGAGACATCAAGACGAAAACTTCCCCACCCTACCTCCAAAGAGCAGAGGCTACAAGACTTGCGGGGACACGAGCGCACCCAGAACTAACCTCTTTGCCAGGCCAAACAGGCTCCCGGCAGACTGGGAGCAGTGCCCCGGGAAGGAGGTCAGCAAGAAGGGGTAGGGGATGGAGCTGGAGCACCCCTGCGGCACCCCGACCCCAGTGAAGCCAGCCTGTCTCGGACCACCTGCCCTCTTCCAGGTGCTGCCAGACCGAGAGGGGAAGCGCTGCATGTTCTGTGTGAAGACAGCCACCCGCACGTACGAGATGAGCGCCTCAGACACGCGCCAGCGCCAGGAATGGACAGCTGGTGAGTGCTCGCTGGGTGGCCTGGGTCTGGCTGGACTCAGTCGCCTCCTCTGTGTAAAGGGGGGTGATGACACTGCCCAGCGGGAGGCTGGAGACTGCCTCGAGCCGCCTCGAAGGCCCCTTTCTGGAGGTGGGCCACCTCGAGGACCCCGCTGCTCCCGGCTGGCGCCCTGCTGACCCCCTCTCTGTCCCTCCGCAGCCATCCAGACCGCGATCCGGCTGCAGGCGGAGGGGAAGACGTCGTTGCACAAGGACCTGAAGCAGAAGAGGCGCGAGCAGCGGGAGCAGCGGGAGCGACGCCGAGCAGCCAAGGAGGAGGAGCTGCTGCGCCTGCAGCAGCTGCAGGAGGAGAAGGAGCGGAAGCTGCAGGAGCTGGAGCTGCTACAGGAGGCGCAGAGGCAGGCCGAGCGCCTGCTGCAGGAGGAGGAGGAGCGACGCCGCAGCCAGCACCGGGAGCTGCAGCAGGCGCTGGAGGGCCAACTGCGCGAGGCGGAGCAGGTGGGGCCGGCTCCCGGCGGGGGCGGGGAGGTGGGGATGCGGAGAGACCCGGCCCAAAGCCGAGGGCTGGGGGCGTGGTCGGGGGCGGAGCCCGCGGTCCGGGTAAGGAGTTGCATGGAGGCGGGGCTTGGAATGAGGGACTTGGGACAGAGCCCGGCACTTGAAGCCTGCATCTGGGACGGGCCTGTGCCAGGGGCGGCGTGAGGAGGGGATGGGGGTACAGGAACCTGGCCGTGGGATGGCTTGAGATGAAAGATGGGGCGGGGCCGAAGCTGAGTGCTATAGGTGGTAGAGGAGACCTGGGCTGGGGGCGGGGCTTGGACAGAGATGCTGCTAAAGACCCCCATAGTCAGGAATGAGTTTGGAACAACGCTAGACTAGATTGGACTAGACTTGATCTAAGTGTACAGTGAAACCAGTTTGGGGAATGCAGGATGGGAGGAAGGAGAGACGAATGTGGAGGCGGACTAGACATGTAGAGGCAATCAGATATAGGATTTAAGAGATCTAGAGCCGGAGTTAGAGACACCTGGATCCGATCGCCACTCTGCCTACTTAGGAGCCTTGTGATCTCAGGCAAGTTACTTAGCCTCTCTGTGGCTCAATTACTTATCAGTGACATGTTGATGCTAACTGTGCTCCTAGAGGTATGATGAGGATCAAATTGGGAAACCCCTTTAGTTGTTACAACAATTATCATAATTATAGTCTCGCCCTGCCTGGCACTAGCCCTAATTATAGTCATAATACCTAATATTATAACACATAATAATAATAATTAAGGCTGGTGCTAGGCAGGGGTGACTTTACCCCCCCCCCCCATGTAGCATCTGTTCACTGACCATTATCTGACCTCGTAAGGCTCCCAGAAAGAGATCAGATCAGGAAGGAATCCCGGCATGAAGGAACTCCCCAGACCCTCAATGTGACAGAGAGCTATGTGGACCAGCCTAGAGGAGTCCTGGGGAAAGGGCAGCGCACCGGCAGGCTCCTCTACCCCACGCGGTGCCCCCGGTGACGTTGCTCCGCGCCCTGGCACAGGCCCGGGCCTCCATGCAGGCTGAAATGGAACTGAAGAAGGAGGAGGCCGCCCGGCAGCGGCAGCGGATCCAGGAGCTGGAGGAGATGCAGCAGAGGCTCGAGGAGGCCTTGCACCTGGAGGTGAAAGCTCGGCGGGACGAGGAGGCCGTGCGCCTCGCCCAGACCAGGTAGGACCGAGGGGCCCCTTCTCGTTCCTCTCCCCTGCTTCCCTGGCGTCCTCCTTGCTGAGCACCTGCGAGGTGCCTTGGCTCTGGAGACGACCCAGTGCGCCCCCCCCCCCCCCCCCCCGGCAGACTGCTAGAGGAGGAGGAGGAGAAACTGAAGCAGCTGCTGCAGCTGAAGGAGGAGCAGGAGCGCTACATCGAGCGGGCGCAGCAGGAGAAGCAAGAGCTGCAGCAGGAGATGGCGCTGCAGAGCCGTTCCCTGCAGCAAGCCCAGCAGCAGCTGGAGGAGGTGCGGCAGAACCGGCAGAGGGCCGACGAGGACGTGGAGGTGAGGCCTGGGGTGGGGGTGGGCAACGGGGTGAGCCCCTCACGCAGAGGACTTGGAGCCTTCCCTCAAACCCCGAGTCGACCGTCTCCCCACTGTGTGACCTCAGGCAGATTGCCTAACCTCTCTGAGATTCGAGTCCCTCATCTGGCCAGTAATAAGCATGGCCTGAAGACTAAAGGAGCTGGTGGGTGTGATATTTAGTATGCAGCAAGTGTGGAAGAAACATTAGCTGCTATTTTTATCATTATTATCAATCTGGGCAAAATTTCCTCATCCTCTTCCAAGCTCCTACCTTGCTATCCCTGTACTTTGGCTCTCATCTCCATAGAAGAGGGGTTTTTTGGTTGTTGTTGTTTTTATTATTTTTTTATCTTTATTTTTTAAAGATTTTATTTATTTGAGAAAGAGAGTACAAGCTGGGGGCAGGGGTAGAGGGAAAGAATGAAACATACTCCCCACTGAGCAGGGAACCAGATGCAGGCTCCATCCAGGACCCTGGGATCATGACCTGTGCCGAAGGCAGGTGCTTAACCAACTGAGCCACTCAGGCACCCCAAATGTTTTATGTTCTATTAATATAATTTTATTTTGACTTGGTCATTGTAAAAAATCCTGACACAGAAACACATAACATAGAAAGGGGAAGTTCCTCCGTGATTCCCTCACCTGACAACCACTGCTAAGGGCTAGGGGACTGGTGGAGCAGAGGTTTTGCTTTTGGTCCTGGAGAGGTGGTGTGGTGTGGTGGTTTACAGTTCAACACAGGTCCCCGGGCAAGTCACTTAAATTCTTTTTTAAAAAAAATATTCTATTTATTTACTCATTCATTCATTCAACAGAGAGAGAGGGGGAGAGAGAGCACAAGCAGGGGGAGGAGCAGAGGGAGAGGGAGAAGCAGACTCCCCACTGAGCAGAGAGCCCAATGTGGGGCTCCATCCCAGGACCCTGGGATCATGGTCCAAGCTGAAGGCAGATGCCTAACTGACTGAGCCACCCAGGCGCCCCATCATTTAACTTCTTTTGCACTGGTTTGTTGTTAGCATCTGCTCTGGAGATTAACTAAAATGATAAATATACTTAGCACCTCTTAGCTGCTTAATGAATGGAACTATAATGATGACAATTTTTGACCCTTTCGGGAGTCCATGAGACCCCTGAAATTGGAAGTTCATCTATATAACTCTTTATGAAATATGTGAGTTTTTCTGGGGAGATGATCAATAGCCTTCATCAGATTCTAAGGGGCCTGCAGACCTGAAAAGGTCAAGACACCCCGTGGAGGATGGTGTCTCTGACACGCTGTCCGCTGGCCCTGACCCCACAGGCTGCCCAGCGGAAGTTGCGGCAGGCCAGCACCAACGTGAAACACTGGAATGTTCAGATGAACCGGCTCATGCATCCAATTGAGCCTGGAGGTGAGAAGGGGGAAAGCCTGGAACTTTCTCTGGAGTGGGGCGGGGGAAGGGAGGGAGAAAGGGATACCTCCAGATCTAGAGAGGCTGCATGGGATTGAAGTTCAGGAGGTTCTCCTCTCCCCCAAGGGCTGAGACAAGGCCTCTCAACCTCTCTCTTTAGGTTGCCTTTCTCCTTACTCACGGTTGCCTTTTCTTTGCCAGATAAGCGTCCCACCACCAGTAGCTCCTTCACAGGCTTCCAGCCACATCTACTTGCCCGCCGTGACTCCTCCCTAAAGCGCCTGACCCGCTGGGGATCCCAGGGCACCCGGACCCCCTCGCCCAGCAGTGGTGAACAGCAGAAGTCCCTCAACGGTGGGGACGAGGCGCCCATCTCAGCTTCCACCCCTCAGGAAGATAAACTGGACCCAGCACCAGAAAATTAGCCTCTGCTATTCCCTCTTCCCCCCAAACTCATACCCACCAGAACCTGGCCACAGCTGGCCTGTGGGTGATGCCAGCCCCCGCAGAAGAGGGAGCTAAGGTCCCAGTGCCAGGAGCTCTGGCCCTCCAACCATGACACAGTCCAGAATGGAGCCTAGTTCATTTTTGGCACCAGCCCCAAGCCCCTGACCGCTTAGGCTGTCTGGGATGTTGATCCTTGAGAACTTGACCTTGTGCCTTAACCCCAAGGACCCCGTGCCCTGGGCTGGAAAAGAGAGCAAACCAGCAAGCCAACGGCATGTGCCCTCAGACTGCCACCAGGTTGTGGAGGTGAATTTCCAAATAAAAACTGTTCTTGGAATGAACACTCAATCGGGTCTGCCGTCCCTCTCTCCTGCCATGTCCACTCTTTCAGCCTTAAGTCTAGTTGTAAGTCCCCGAGAATAAAGTGGAGGGTGGGGCGAGGCAAGTACATGCTGCCGCTTACTACCTGGGTGACTTTGGTCAAGTCTGCTCACCTGATTTCGCTTCAGTTCCCATGGTAGTAAAATACGGATACTAACGGTACCTGCCTGATAGGGTTGCTGTGCGGATTAAGTGCTTGGCCCATGAGCAAGCGCTATTATTAGTAGCACCTAGGTGTGGTTACTGAGCATCTAGTCTATATGCCCTGCACTTCCCCTGGCTATTTCATTCTCCTGGCAACCCTGAGAGGTATTATCATTTTCATGTTCCATGTGGAGAAACTGAGGCCCAGCGAGGTGAGGTAACTTGCCCAAAGCCTTCCAAACTTGCTTCTTTTCCCATATTATTTGACTCACTGGCTTTGTCACCTAAGACAGAGATCTGAAATCTAGGGTGCTTCTTCCCCCCCTCCCCCCCCCCCCTTGTGGTACACAGCCCATCATGAAATCCGGTAGACCCTCCTTCACTCTCTCATAGCTATCCCTCCCTCTCTATGGCCATGGCCATGGCCACTGCCGCGGCTAAGGCCTTCATAGCCTCCTCCTGCATCCTCACCTTCAATTCCTTCTCCATCTTGCCCCATATGTAATCAGTCAGGTCAAGTTCACGTTCCCACACGTGGCACATGAGGTTTGTGATGCTCTAGCCCAGGAGAACCTCCTGTGCCTCTGCTTTATAGATTTGCTAATGGCTCCCCTCCTTCTCCTTCCTCTGGGCTGGAACACTGGCTGTCCTTCCCACCTTACTTCAGGTAACAGCCTCCATAACTAGACACATGAGTTCCTTGAAGGCATGGACATATGTTCCAACTTACATCCCCAGTGCCTAGCACAACACTTGGCTCTTAGCAGGCATGCAACAGGTGTTTGTTGAATGATTCCATTCTAAAAAGAATGAGTGGGTGTCACGCAGCTTAAAAGTGATGAAGGAGCTAAGATTCAAACTCAAGTCCGTTCATTTACTCAGTGAATTATTTATTAGGCACTTATATGCCAGGTGTTGGGCTGGGTGCTGGCTACATGGGACAGAACAAAATAGAAGGAGTCCTTGCCCTCCTGGAGCTTATGTGGTAGCTGATATCAAAGTTCATTTCTCAGTGGTGCCTGGGTGTCTCAGTTGGTTGAGTGACTGCCTTTGGCTCAGGTCATGATCCTGGATTGCCAGGACTGATTCCCACATCGGGCTCCCTGCTCAGCAGGGAATCTGCTTTCTCCCTCTGACCCTTCCTCCTCTCATGCTCTCTCTCTCTCTCTCATTCATGCTCTCTCTCTCTCTCTCAAATAAATAAGTAAAATCTTAAAAAAAAACAACAACCAAAAACCCCAAAAACAAAAACCGAAGTTCATTTCTCTTGCAAGGACACCAAGATCTATTGCGAGGAACTTCATTCCAGTGTATTTAAAGTGTCATGAAACAAAATTACCAGTATAACACAGTGCATATTGTGGGATGGGAAGTGAGCTTCAAACTCTAAGCGCGGTAGGAATTCAGAAGAAAGGGAAGGAAGCATTTGGTAGGAGCTGGGATTCACAGTGGCCCTTAAAATTTTTGTAAGAAAGAAGGGTTGGAGAACATGGAAACGACAATAAGTAGAAAGAAGCATAATAGATTTATGAGTACAAGAAATGTGGATTCTGGATGGGAATCCCTCCTCTGGTGGGAAGGTCCGTGGTCCTTTAATTGGAAGTGGGGTATCTCTAGGGGACAAAGAGTTTTCAGAAAATCAATTTGTAGATCCTCAACTTCCAAATGTGCTCTTTACCAAAACTGCTGTCTATTTTTTTTTTTAAGATTTATTTATTTGAGAGAGAGACAGACAGAGAGAATCTCAAGCCAACTCTGCACTGAGCCAGGTGCCCAACATGGGGGGGCTCAATCCCATGATCCTGAGGTCATGACCTGAGCTGAAACTAAGAGTTGGACGCTTAAGTGAATGCATCACTGAGGCACCCAAAACTGCTGTCCTCTTTCACACTGTCGCCTTCCCTACTTTCTGTAACAAGGTTCACCACTCCTTCACCCACTATCTTTCAATGGTGGACTGTGGCGGGGTGGGGGGATGCCCTGGAACACTAAACAAAGCAGCAATTTGCAATGCTGGTGTTGGCTGTGGGTGCTGAGAAAATGAATGCCTTAAAAGCTGGACAAGAAATTCTTTTTGTTTTCAAGTCAGGAGGTTTCTAAATCTTTGCCTCAAAACCTAAAAGGACTTGATTGCACTGTCAGCTGAAAAATCATTAACAATATCTTTTCATAATAGATCTTTGTGATTTGGGTTTGTTTTGTTTTTTTTTTTTTTTGTAAACAATTGGGATTTAGATGCCACTGCTGTATCAGAATTCTTAATTCCCATCTACCTATTGATTTGAAATGAAAATGAAGCATAAATGAAAACACGGGCCTGAATTCATGCCAAATGTCATCTTATTCCAGCAATAACTTATATTCAACTATGAACATAGAAACTACCTGGGGAAAAAAGCAGCCCATCCTTTCATTAAAAAATACATTTCTGAGGGTGCCTGCATGGCTCAGTCTGTTAAGTGTCTGCCTTTGGCTCAAGTCATGATCTCAGGGTCCTGGGATGAAGCCCCATACTGGGCTCCCTGCTCAGTGGAGAGCCTGCTTCTCTTCCCTCTGCTGCTCCTGGTGCTTGTGCTCTCATGCTCTCTCTATCAAATAAATAAATAAATTGTGTAAGCCTTAATTGTGTAAGACTGATGATTCGCAGACCTATACCCTAAACAAATAATACATTATATGTTAATAAAAGAAAAAAATACATTAAAATTAAAAAAAAATTTTTTTTAATGTAAAAAAAAAGAAAAGAAAAGGAATACATTTCTGGGGCACCTGGGTGGCACGGTTGGTGGAGTCTGCTTGGGATTCTCTCTCCCTTGGCCCCCCTGCTCATGCTCTCTCTCTCTCAAAATAAATAAATAAATCCTTAAAAAATACATTTCCAATGTATCATTTGTGTTCATGCATAATATTTATAAAAATCAGAGCATTTATGTTGTTTTGATCAATTGTATGTTACTAATTTTGTAATGGTCACTCAAACCAGAAAAAAATTTCTCATTTAGAGTTTTATAGTTACTGGGGCCCCTGGGTGGCTCAGTTGGTTAAGCGTTTGCCTTCAGCTCAGGTCATGATCTCAGGGTCCTGGGATCGAATCCCACATCAGGCTATCTGCTCAGCAGGAAGCCTGCTTCTCCCTCTCCCATTCCCCCTGCTGTGTTCCCTCTCTTACTGTCTCTCTCTGTCAAATAAACAAATACAATCTTTTTAAAAAAAGTTTTATAGTTACATGAAACTTAAAATTTTTTTAAATTTTGGGGCACCTGGGTAGCTCAGTCTGTTGAGTGTCTGCCTTAGGCTCAGATCATGATCTCAGGGTCCAGGGATAGAGGGGGGCCCCCCTACTGAACGAGCCCCCAGGGTTGGGCTCCCTACTTAGTAGGGAGCCTGCTTCTCCCTCTCTCTCTGCCCTCCCACTCATGTTCTTTCTCTACAATAAATAAAATCTTTTTTTTTTAAGATTTTATTTATTCATTTGACAGACAGAGATCACAAGTAGGCAGAGAGGCAGGCAGAGAGAGAGCAGGAAGCAGGCTCCCTGCTGAGCAGAGAGCCCGACGTGGGGCTCGATCCCAGGATCCTAAGATCATGACCTGAGCTGAAGGCAGAGGCTTTAACCCACTGAGCCACCCAGGCACCCTTAAAATCTATTTTTTTAAAAATTTCAATGTATAGACATATTTTGGTTGCAGAGATGTACGATATGGTAATCAATAAAACACTTAAGCAAAAAAATATGTTACATTGATCAGATTTTTGAGGGGAAAATGGAATGGAAATGCAAGTAGAAGGATAGAAAGAGACAATGTAATATTTTCTATTGATAAAGAAGAGCTTCTTCATGTATTTTTAAGATGGTTGATGGTAAGCGTCACATCTCTATGGGATTTGGGTCTTATTCAATATATTTAAAAGGGTAGGAATGCAGTTTTATGTGAAAATGTCAATATTTACAGAATAGTAGAAATGACATCCATTCTCTGTGTTTTATGTTTTCCAACTAATGGTGAAAAATATCAGATGTCACCTTAAAAATGTGCAAGGAGCTTCATAGTTATATATTCTTTGAGGAATAGAGAGGCAAAAAAATTTGAAGACTACTTCCATGAAGGTAGAAAGGACTAGGAAGGTAGAATGAGGCCTGGCTATAGACATTCTTGGAAACTAGGTAGAGTTTAGACTTGAAGTGGCAAGCCAACCCTTAAGCTTCAGGGTCAATGGGTCCATTCCAGACTTTTGAATATTCTATGACTGGCCACAGGGAGGTGTTGGTGGTTGAGGTATGAGATACTGAAAAGCAGGTCAGCCTGATGCCTGAATACCATCCACATTGGAACTGGCACAAAAGGCTCTCAATCGTGAGGGATGGAACTGGTTGGCGGGGCAGGAGAAGTTATTTTCCAGTCTTTAATTCCAGGATTAGAAAGTAAGTCCTCTGCCCTTTCCAACATCCCGGACAAAGGAGAATGTAACCAGTCTCGGATGCCCTCATATTTCCTCATAAGCTCTGGAGACCACGTAGACAGCACAGCCACGGCGGGCCCAAGTCATCCCTGTAGGGCTTCTGTGTGAGGAAGAGTGGGGAGGTAGCACAGTTAGTCGGAGGGCAATAGCCTCGTTGCAGATTGTGGCCAGGATCCATAAGAAGCCTCCTCCTCCAGGACAGTGTGCATCAGGCTCCCTGTTCAGCGGGGAATCTGCTTCTCCATCTCCCTCTGTGATCTCTTTCACTCTCACTCTCTCTCAAATAAAACAAACCAAAACAAAACAAAATTAAAAAAAAAACCTTTAAAAAATGAAGATTTAAGAAACAGAAACTGACTGGTTTAAGTTAAAAAAAAAGATTTTATTAATAGCATATAGAAGGGTTCCTTAAGTAATTGGGAGGATGAGCGAGAGACAGTTCAGAGGCTGTCTGGTCAGGAAGGATACCTCAAAAGATGGCACACAACAGTCCTTATGAAGACACCCCAGCTGCTTCATCTGGGTACAGATGCCGCTGATTCCATGGCTGATATCATGCTACACTTACAATTGCTGCTTCTTACGGCTAGAGATTGGGTGGACCTGCAGCTCTGCCACTTACCCAAGTGGATTCTGTGTGCTTCCCAGGTTTTCCTTTCCCCGGCTTCTGGTGGAGGCTTTTGTATGGCGATGCCCTAGCTGAAAAGTGGGCCAGAAGTAAATGCCTGGCATTGTGGAGCTTCCACAGTGAAGGAAGAGTCTATGGTGGGAGATTCCCCAAATATAGGAAAGTGATTCAGAAGTGAGGTGGCAGAAAAACCAAGAAGCCTTGAAGAGGATGGATATAC